TTCTGGGTCTGCCAGGGAACACCTAGGGTTGGGGGGGCCGCACCACCTGGCTCAGCGACTGGTGCCTCCTGGGTCTGGGGGGCATCCGGGGTACTTCTGGTCCAATTCCGGGTTCGCTGCCAAGCATGCAGGGCCCCCCCCCACCGTGCTCCTGTAGGATGCTCCATCCACGCCACCATTGCAGCATTCACAAGCCATGCCTGGTACCTCGAGGTATGTAGAAAAACATTTAAAACTGTGTTTATGTCCAAACTGTTGATTCTATGAATCAGCATCAAATCTTCAGATTCAGATTTGGCCAAATCAAATTGGGGACAGTGATCTGAATCAGTGGATTGAATCACTGTCCTGATTCAGGCCAAATCCGAATCAAATAGCTCCTGTTTTGCACACCCCTAAAAATCATTACAATATGCTTAGTAAACATTTACATTCAAGAATGAAAATATATAACAAATAATGATGAGAACATCATTCCCTCTTCTTTTACAGGGAAGATATTTGTCAAAAATTGTGCATATCTGGGCACCATCAATGTATGAGCTAACTGGAACACCAGTCACATTAATATCTCTTTGAAAGCCACTCCTTATCAATGGCCCCAGTATATTCTCACTTAACTTGAATTTAAAAACCTGAATGATACACTTTCAAGCCATGTGCCTTGACCATTTTTTTCATTAATTCTCCCCATGGGCAGCTAACATTTCAAAGTCTGATCAAAAAGACTAGGGAACTGGAACATTTCCAGTGAATTTATTATGCCACATATTTAATTAATCCATGAATTTGTTCTTAAAGGGTGATACCTTGCACATGCTGGTATTCGATGCTGATATCCTGGCGCATGTCCACGAGGGGCCAACAGGGGAGGTTATGCTTAGGGGCAACCAACATGGGTTCATTCGAGGCAGGTCCTGTCAGACCAACCTGGTGGCCTTCTATGACCAGGTCACAAAATCCTTAGATGCAGGGTCAGCAGTGGATGTAGTCTTTCTGAACTTTCGGAAGGCCTTCAGCACAGTATCTCACCCCATTCTCATTAAAAAACTGGGGGATTGTGGTGTCGACATCCACACCGTCAACTGGGTCGCCAACTGGCTGGAGGGTCGCACCCAGGGAGTGGTGGTGGATGGGTCACTTTCGACTTGGAGGGATGTGGGCAGTGGGGTCCCCCAGGGCTCGGTCCTCGGGCCCACACTGTTCAACATCTTCATCAGTGACTTGGACGAGAGGGTAAAAAGCACCCTGTTCAAATTTGCAGATGACACTAAGATGTGGGGGGATGTGGGCATGCTAGAAAGGAGGAATAGGCTACAATTGGACCTGGACAGGTGACAGGGGTGGGTGGATGAGAATAGGATGGGATTCAACACTGACAAGTGCAAGGTGATGCACCTGGGGAGGAACAACTGGCACCATACCT